TTACAAAGCTCTTGACATATCATATTTCATACATTTGATTCAAGTGGGTTATGAACTCCCATTTTTACCCCGTATACAGATTGCAGTCAATTTTAGAGTCCTCTGATGTCAGCAGATGTCACTTTAAATGAGATGCCATCAGCTGGTCCATTGGTTTCATCAGAAGTTCCATGCTAAGTGGCTAACTTGGAACTGCGGAAAACCTTTGTTGATTTGCCTAACCACAGAGTCTCACTGCTGATTTTGTTTACCACTACCCCCACCCACCCCCCACAGCCTTTTGCAGCCCTATAAGAAAAACTTCACCATTTCCCAGCACATCCCTGTGTCTGCATCTATTTTTAATGCACCTCTCTGAAACAAGGACTTTTTTTTTTAACAACCATAACTTAAGCTGGAAAGTCAGTTTTCAGGCAGGTTGAGAAGGCAGAAAATGTTCTATAAGGATTTATTCAGGAAAGACTTATTGAAAAAAAAATGTATCCCCATCTTTTTTCCCTCTTTATCCCCATGACAACACGAAGTGTAATCAGTGATATGTGAATGTGATGGCAAAGATAAGTCTCCAATGCAGGTAGTGACATTGTGTGAGTGAGGCCATCCTGTAACTGAGAGGAGAGGAATGTGCAGCGGGGGTTGGTTCCCAGAGTTTTTGATTCACTGGCCATGACAACAACAAAAGCTACATTTTTTTTTAAAGAATAGGGCTAATTTCATTTTGGGGACTTGTCACCAACAAGGTTTCCTGGTGTTCCCCTGCCCCGCATCTGCAGAGTCACGCCACAGCTCTGGGGACCTAGCATGTCTAGAATAGAGCTGGAGGTATCTACCACCACATCCCACTTAGGACTTCTTTACTTTTTATTAATGCCATACATTTTTATAAGGTTAGATTATTTGAAACATTTGTTTATATTCCATATTCAAGAAAATCATATTAATATTGGTAGCAGTTCCTATCTATCTCTTAAAAAATATCTCCTTTTTATTTCTTTTCTCTCTCTCTCTTGTGCTGAAAGGTTTATGGGTATTTATACATATACATATTTGTTTCTTTTTTCTCATTTATAGTGTGTGTGTGTGTGTGTGTGTGTGTGTGTGTGTGTGTGTGTGTATGTGTGGTGCAGGGGATTGAACCCCGGTCTTCTTTCATGCAAGGCAAGCACTCTACCAACTGAGCTATATCCATAGCCCTCATTTGTAGCATTTTTTTGAAGGTTGTTATTTTTCTTTGCCTTGTTTATTGAGGGTTAGAGTTTTTCTTATTATGTTTGGCTTTTGTTTTGTATTGTTTTTCACTTGTCTGTTTCCCTCGTTTCTATTTCTTTTGCTAACAGCCAATTTGTATTTTTTTCTCCACTTTTTCTTTAATTTTTTTTACTTCTATTTTTTCCTTCTCCTCCAATCCTACATCTCTTCTGCATTTTCCCTTTTCTCCTTTTGAAATTGTACACTCTTTTCTACCCACGTAATCTTCTTTCCTCTTAATTCATTCTACTCTTGGCACTAATTGTTTTACATAACGCCTGCCCCCACAAATAATGCTGGTGCAGTTATCACTGTTGTGGCAGCCATGTATGACACCTGGTATTTGATGTAATGCCAGATATAATACATGATTACTTACGGCTTTATTGATGGCAATTGCTGATTTTACCATCCCTGTTGATTGTGCTAATTAACACTGTCGATGTTAGATTTTCTTTGCTCTTGTACGGGCCTAATGTTAAATGTTCTTTTATACAAAGTTCCATTCATTTGTTAAGTCTTCAAATTGTTTATCTAGGTTTTATCTTCATAAGAAGGTGCCACCAAATGCTCTCCGGCCGCCCCGCAGTGTTTCCTTGTGCTTGTTGTGACATCCCTGGTTCACTCTAAAGTAGTTCAAGTGCTGCAAAAGATCTCTGGTCCTGGTGACTCGTGTTCAAAACTGCACTTTTCTCTGGTCTCAGAGAATTAAATTATCTATCATTTGCTTGCCAGTTACATAGATCAAAGTCAATACATTTAACCACAAAGGAATACATTTATGTACTTTGATCAGCTCACGGAGCATATCCCATTTGCCACAATTAATCATTGTAAAGACAGCCATCGGCGCGTGCTAACAGAAGTTCTCATAGCACCCATGGGTAGCTTCACTCCTGAAGGCAATTAAGAGACTCCTCTGGATGTCTCCAGATACGAAGAGTTTCCTATGGGAGGAATATCAGGAGGCCAAGCAAAGCAGGGATGAGTGACTTCCGGAATCTGTATGTTTTCTGTAATGGTGCAATGGGTCTGTTGGACAAGAAATTCACAGCTTAGATTATAATCACATCTCAGGGTTCTATTAAAAGCACCTTGATTCACTGGTACTTAATGTGTTACCTGGGATCTTCTTGTCAGTGAACACTGGATAATCTCCCCCGGACATTTCAGTCTCCCTCCTCATTCCCTTGAGACATTACAAAGCCCATGCCCCCAGCCCATAGAACTCATTTATTAAATTATTGTTGAATGAAACTAGATTTTGTTGCATTCCAATTGACCACCTGGAAAACCGTTGTGGTTGTTCTTCTTTAATAACCTTTAGTTGTCCCTTTGGTGGAAGACTGTTCAGTAGCTGCAACACTGGGAATAAGAATAAGTTATATTCCACGTATGTTTAATATATCTAAAATCATTCTTTACTATTACGGATATCTAAAAAGAACAAATTTTAAAAAATAATTATCTGGGTTTTAGTTTCCTCCACTATAAAGTGGGGATAGTAACATTACTACCTTCACAGTTTTACTTTGGTAATTGAGAGTAAATTACGTGCTTGCACACAGATGTTTGCTGTCGCTTATTACTATTTTTCAATGTGGAGTGCTTCATAGATATGCATGTCATCTTTGCACAAGGGCCAGGCTAATTTCTGTATCATTCCAAAGTTTGGATATATGCTGCCAATGTGAACACTACTATCAATTCTGATCACATAATGACCCCAAAACAGATACCCTCTCTGTTTTACACCTGAGGAAACTGAGGCTCAAATTAGATCACAAGTTCAAGACCAGAAGACCAGTAGAAGAAGAGCTGGGGTGTGAATTAGATCAGTTTGCAAGGTATCTGAGCTCCCTTCCTGCACTCCACATTGCCCCCTTGTGCAGCTCTTGCAACCTTTCCTACCCAGTCATGAGATCATTATTCAGATGAAAATAGAATATTCATGAAATAATTTAAACTATGAAAACATAAAGGCAATGAGTGTTGAAATACATGGAGAATAAAAGGTACAGTCATTATGATTAGAAAAGCTCCTAGATTTACATTAAGGGAGTTTCATACCCCTTACTGAGGTTTGTTGCTATATAGAAGAACACTAATTATGTCAGAACCATTAAAAGAGTTAGTGGTACTTATGCAGATTTTTCTTTTGCTATGATTAAAAAAAATAATTCTCAGGGCTGGGGATGTGGCTCAAGCAGTAACGCGCTCGCCTGGCATGCGTGCGGCCCAGGTTCGATCCTCAGCACCACATACAAAGATGTTGTATCTGACAATAACTAAAAAATAATATTAAAAAAATTCTCTATCTCTCTTTCTCTCTCTCTAAAATAGTAATAATAATAATAATAATTCTCCCAAATGCATTGAGCTTGGTACCATTTTTCTAGCCAAAAGTGATAATGCTTTATTACTTATGGACGTTGAAAGATATCTGTTTTAGGGCTGGGGCTGGGGCTCAGCGATAGCACACTTGCCTGGCATGTGTGAGGCACTGGGTTCGATTCTCGGCACCACATGTAAATAAATAAAATAAAGGTCTATCAACAATAGCTACTGCTCAGTTAATTCTTATCAGGGGACTAATTCACTGAGTGGGTTAAGACTCTCATAACCCAATCATTTCACCTCTGAATGTTCTTGCGTTGTCTCGCAAATGAGCTTTTGGGGGATACCTCATACCCAAACCATAACATTTCTGCAGAAATAACATTATGACCAGAAATCCCTCTGATTAGCATATTTCATCATTAGCTATGACCTTCATAGCTCTAGAATGTAGGAAATGAGATTATATGTAGAGCAGAGAAAGTGAAGAAACACAAATGTGATTGCTGATGGTCCCACAGTCCAGGGCAGGCTGAAATTTAAGCAGTCTGACCTCAAAGTAAACATTTATCAATACTTTGCCTGCAAACCAGTAATAAAATGCCAAACTAGGGAACACTGAAAGTATATACAACGGCATGTGGCTGTCCTGTTGATACTCTTTCCTTGAGGGTTTTGTTTGGACTTTTCTACAATCCGCCTCACGTGAATTCACCTCAAAACAGGAGCAATCTTGCTCTGTACTCAGGATTTTATCAGGTTGCTGCACATACAAAGACGAACCGTTATCCATGAAAAACCAAAAAGCAAGATTAAAAAGGGAATGCCGGATTTGAGCATTGCAGCGGGAAAGGGCACACTAAAATGTATCCACGTGTTTGAAGGTAGCAGAGGTGGAGGTTGATCTCCAATAGGATAGGTAACAATTGGGGTGAAGAGAGTATATCTTCCTTTTATCCTCAGACATTTATTGTAGACTTATTTTGTCACAAAAAAATGAAAACAACAAATTTACATTTTTATTGCTGTAAGAAATACCTTTAAAAAAAGACCGACCCACATCACGAGCCACAGCACAGCTCTAAGGGTATCAGGCCTCCAGCGATGCCGCTCATGATAGCACCTACTTATTTTGGCATTCTTAGAATAAAAACTCACTACAGACTCTGTTGAAATAAATTTTGTGAGCTCTAACCTTGTGGTTTTCCTGGGTAACCAAGTATAGAGGAGTTATTTTGAAAGGTCAATCATGGAGTCTTCCTTGAGGAAAGTGTTGATTTCCCCCCACCAGTATTTTAACCTGCTTGAAAGTTAAGAAAATAAAGGCTAATCCTGCTGTAACGTACTTTAACTAAAAACCACCTGTTTGGCATGTACACATTTCGTTCATTAGGACTTATGACCAAAATCATAGATGGGGAGCCAGGTGTGGGGGACCCTAACCCTAACCCTAACCCTAACCCTAACCCCTCCCCCACCCCACATTAGATCTGATGCCTTCGGAGGGCACAGAGGGCGGGCTCCTGTCCATCTTTGTGGGAAGGGACCTAACTACAAGGAGGATCCCAGAATCATAGGGATTGTTTTCCTCCCTTCCTATGCACTGGAGAAAGCCTCTTTAAAATAGGGAAGAAAGCCTGGTAAATCTACATGATAAAGGGACAGAGCCAGAGGCAGAGGGGAGCCCGGGGAGAGAACTGCGGGATACCAGAGGGGGGGGGCAAAGTGAGAAAGAAGGGGAAGGCACCCCTCCCATCCCTGGGCTTTGAAGGATTCAATCAAAGGATTTAAACTGCACACCATTTTGCATCTGCTGTGTCTGAATGAGACTGACCATGTCCTAGGCCAGGCAAAAACATACACCTTTAGATTCTCCCTGGAAGTGTTCACTCAGAGGACCCTGAGATGGGTTTGAAAAAGCAAATGGATGGACTATAATGTTGGGTGGGAACTATGAGCAGGTGGTGGGGGTATGACTAGGAGAGGTGGGTCACTGCCGGTGTGTGGCCTTGGGGATTGTACCTGAGATGCAGTGAGATGTATCAGGGATCTGCAGAATGAGACCAATGGACAATGGAGGGTCTAGCAGAGTAACAGAATTTATTTCTGAAACAGACAGGAAACAGCTACCACAAGGAAGGGGTCCCAAGAGAGTGGTCACCGAGGTGTGGCTGTCCAGGGGTTTATATGGTGTTGCTGGAGGTAACTTTTAAATCTACTGGCTAA